CTACAGATGTAGCGAGCTTTTATTCTGATAGGTTGTTTTTTCAGAGTTAACCTATAAGAATCCACAGTGACACAGGTGACCCCGCCCCTTTAGACACCCACGAAAGTTCCCTGTAAAGTTTTAAAGTTTCGTTTGATGTCTTGTCATGTGACAAGCGAGGGACTCGTGACAACACGTCCTGTATGTCACGTGACCTGAACCCACCAAACTGAAGACGGTCGTCAGATTTTTATTGTGACAAACACACATAATGGAAAAGGTCATGTGACGTGCTTGTCACACGGCACCAATCATCTGTTTTCTTATTGATCAATATGTTTCCTGTTGTTGTTTAAACAATAAAAGCATGAAAAATGAGTGAAATCGTTCAGATTTGGCTATTTCAGTCTGTCATCACACGGAAGAGAAGCCAAAACTGGAGTAATGTGTGACCTCTTGTTCGTACCAGTTAAAGTCTTGCCGCTGCATTCTGAACAGACTGAAGGCGATCAAGAGCTGGTTTGTTGAGACACGTAAAAAGACCGTTACAATAATCAAACAAGAAGAGATAAAAGCAGGAATCATCTCAAGTTCTGCCTTTGACACCAGTCTGAGTTTAGAAATGTTTCAGATGATAAAAACAGTTCAACAAGTTGCTTAGAGAGTTTCTCCAGAGACATTGAACTGTCAAATATAACACCTAAGTTTCTGAGACGTGACTGAAATGAAGGGCCTAAAAAACTGATCTGCTGCTTAATTTCTGAGAGCATGTGATCAGGTGCAATAATCAAAGTTTCTGTTTTATCTGCATTTAACTGGAGGAAACTGTCATTTAACCATTGTTTGATCTCAGACAGAGAATTATTTAAACAAGACAATTTGTAAAACTCAGAAGCTTTGAAAGAACAGTATAACTGAATGTCATCAGCATAGAGATGATAAGAAATATTATTGTAACATCTGATAATGTGGCCTAGAGGGAGTATATACAGCAAAAAGAGAATAGGACCTAAAACAGATCCTTGAGGTGCCCCAGAAGGCAGAACTGATGTTTCCGACAGCACCTGATTCATACAGACAGTAAAGGATCTCTCAGATAGATGCGACATAAACCATTTAAAACAACACCAGTAATCCCAAACAAGTCCTTCAACAAGTCCTTATTTATCAGGATGCTGTGATCAACAGAACCAGAACGGTGTGCTCTCCAGAGTCTGCTGCCATCAGAGTGTCCCCACACGCTTTAAGCAAAGCGGTTTCAGTGGAGTGCAAATGTCCAGAACATTGTTCTTCTCCAA